CTAGTCCCGGCTGCTCCACTTTCGATCCAGCTCTCTGCTATGACCTGGGATAGCAGTGGAAGATGGCCCAGGTCCTTGGGCTCCCGCACCCGCGTGGGAGACCCGGAGGAAGCTCCTGGCTCCTGGCTTCGGATCAGCACAGCTCTGGTCATTGCGGCCATCTGGGGAGTGAACCAGCGGATGGAAGACCTCTCTTTCTCTGTCTCTACCTCTTCGTAACTCTTTCAAATAAATAAAATAAATCTTTAAAGAAAAAAAGGGGGAGGAATTATAAATTCTTAGCTGTTAAAATAAAGTTTGTGTTTTTAAGTACATGGTAATAAGTACCAAATTATCACTCCATTTCATTCTCTAGAATACACTCAAGAGAATGAGGTACAGGTTTGTTTCAACGGGTCAGTATTTGCAACTACAAATTCACATCCTTTGCTGTAACTGAAATTTACCATGGAAAAATAAATGTCTACTTAAAATGTGTGTGAGGATACACAAAGTTTCTTTCAGAGGGCTCCTAACTTAGGAGAAAGAGTAGCAGAAGCAAGTCTAAGCGTTTGTCAGCCCTGATTTTCTACTGGAGGTATCTGGGGACTCGAAGCCCCTTAGGACCTTGGGGAGCTGACACCCCGGTTCAGAAAGGAGGCGCTGTGTAAGGCAGCTTTGTTTCCACTGTACGGATTCTATAGCAGTTGTCTGAACGCACAGATCTGCTTTTAAGCAGGGACCAGATGGCCAGGCTTCTCTGGGATGTGGCTGTGGATGTTTGCAGGAAGGCAGCCTTCCGGCAGGACAGATGTCTCCACAGTGCAGTTTGGGAGTCCACTTCTTAGCCCCAGGCACCTCCCTATTTGGTGTGGGAGAGAGCGTTACAGAGCAGGGACATTTGCGGTGGCCAGGGAGCCCTTGGGGAGCCTGGACTCCTGGCAGGGCCTGCCCCTCTTTCATGAAAACAGTCAGTCCAGGCAGTCTCCCACAGCACCCTTGGGACAGGGGGAGGAGTCTTCGGGGGTCCTGGGCTCTGGCCAGTCTCTGGCTCCCTATCCTAGCCTAGAACCCTCCTGTGGGCCTTGAACCCTCCTGAGGCTGTGGGCGTGGCTCACAGGGCCCATCAAAGGAACCACTCTTTTTTTTCTTTTTCTTTGACAAGGCAGAGTAGACAGTGAGAGAGAGAGAGACAGAGAGAAAGGTCTTCCTTTGCCGTTGGTTCACCCTCCAATGGCTGCCGCGGCCAGCGCACTGTGGCCGGCGCACCGCGCTGATCCGATGGCAGAAGCCAGGTGCTTATCCTGGTCTTCCATGGGGTGCAGGGCCCAAGCACTTGGGCCATCCTCCACTGCACTCCCGGGCAACAGCAGAGAGCTGGCCTGGAAGAGGGGCCACCGGGGCCACCGGGACAGAATCCGGCGCCCCGACCGGGACTAGAACCCGGTGTGCCGGCGCCGCAAGGTGGAGGATTAGCCTAGAGAGCGGCGGCGCCAGCCAGGAGCCATTCTTTCCTCCCCAACATCTCCTTCCCCATCCCATAGCCCGAATCCCCACCCTCACATAAAGCTCCAGTCAGTAGAGATATTGACCTTACCTCAGGGGGAGAGGGAGGGCAAAGTGGCTTCCGGCAGGCAGGGAGGGGAAGGTGGCAGACACCAGGGCCTCTGAGACGCCTTGGTCCAAACTCGCTCTTTTCATGTGACAGAGACTTGGAGATTCCTACATGTGCCATGGTGGCAGCCCTAATGCCTGAGCCCCTGCCTGGCTTCCATCTCCTGTCCTAAAATGAGCCCTGGTTCTGGGGGCTCTTTGAGGTTTGACTTCCTGTCTGGGCTTCGCGCTGAGCAGGGCCCACCTGCCCACATCCAGGTCAGAAGCTGAGTTCCTCCCGCCCTCCCCTCTCACCTGCATCCCACAGCTGAGGTGACCTGGGTCTGCGGGGCACCCCTCCCTGACAGCAGTGTCCTCTGGGCTTTGTACCTGGTCTGTCTGGGAGGTGGCCTCTATCAGGACAACTTGTCTGGAGCTCAGACAGGACCACACCTCTCCCCCACCTCAAATTCTGTTAGCAATTCCCTGTTCCAGTGTCCCAGGTCTGAAATGAGGTGATTGACCTCTGCTGGCCTCTGGGACCTCAACTTGGGCCCCTCGTTAAGGCCACGGCCATAGCACAGTGAGCATGTTCTCACCAGATCATGACCCTTCCTGGCTTACAGCCTACAGAGGCTTCTAATCATGTTTAGAATGAACCCCTACCCTGCAGGCCCTCTGAGGCCCTCTGTGCCCTGGGGCCTCCCACCTCGGGCCCCCTCACCTCTCCCAGCTCCTGTACCCAGGCCCCTGTGGTTCCTCCCACCTGGTGGTGCCAAGCTCCCCCGGCTCAGGGCTGTGAACTCTGCCTGGGGAAGGGAAGGAGGGGAGCACTCCTGGAGCAGGAGGAGTAGGCAGCCTGGAGCCGAGTCACCTGGACAGGCCTGACGGGTGAAGAGGCTCCAGCCACGGGGCCGCCTGGGTGCCCACACAGGACTCACCTGCCTGGGGAAACAGGAACCAGGGCACTGAGCTTGAAGAGTCTAGAAAAAGAAACTCCAGCAAAACATGGCATTGCAAACATGCCCGGGCTTCTGCAAATATTTTCCTTGGTTGTAACTCAGAACATTGATGCTGTAGGTTTTCTTTTTCTTTCTTTCTTTTTTTTTTTTTTTTTTTTTTTTTTTTTTACAGGCAGAGTGGACAGTGCAAGAGAGACAGAGAGAAAGGTCTTACTTTGCTGTTGGTTCACCCTCCAATGGCTGCTGCGACCGGTGCACCGCACTGATCCGAAGCCAGGAGCCAGGTGCTTCTCCTGGTCTCCCATGGGGTGCAGGGCCCAAGCACTTGGGCCATCCTCCACTGCACTCCCTGGCCACAGCAGAGAGCTGGCCTGGAAGAGGGGAACCAGGACTAGAACCTGGTGTGCTGGTGCCGCAAGGCGGAGGATTAGCCTATTGAACCACAGTGCCGGCCGATGCTGTAGGTTTTCATTGTAGAATACTGGGAAAACACAGAAGTGTGGAAGGGGGAAAAGATTACCCAGAAATTCCCGAAAGGTAGAATTATGGTTTTTCTGTACAATCTTTACTTCTCAAGAGAAGGGTTATATATGGACATAAGCAGTTTTTAATTTATGTTTTAATTGCTGTTTTAAACAATTTCTCACCCATCTTTAGTGAAGAACACTTGTATAAGTGCATTCCTTCTGGAACATTTATGATTTTACCTAACATTCTGAGGCTCCACCTTGCTTTGATATTCCAGGTATTTGAAGTACGGCTCTCCCAAAATGGAATTGGCTTCAAAAGCACTGCAACAATTTATCCTTCCTGTTCAAAGTTTAAGAAGGCTGCTTTATACCAAATTCTTCTCATTAGCATTTTAAAGTCTCTGCTAATTGGATACACCAAAGATAGAACACAATTTCAATTTGAATTTTAAAATTACTGATACATTTGAACACTTTTCCTTACATAGTTAAACTTTAAATCTTTTAGACCTTTCTTGACCAATAGTCTTTTTTGTTTCTTTTGCCTAAGACATGGATATCTTAAAGATCTCATCAATTCATTTAATAAATATATAGACCTTTGCTCTGCAGAGATGCTAACATTTTATAAAATATTTATTTTCATTTACATGGAAGGTAGAGCGATGGGAGGGGAGGATGAGAGAGAGAGATGTTGCATCTGCTGACTCAGTTCACAGATGCCTGCAACAGTCAGGGCTGGGCCCAAAGCAGAAGCTTAATATTCCATCCGGGTCTCTCCCACGGGTGGCAGGGGCCCAAGGACTTGAGCCATCACCTGCTGCTTCCCAGGATGCAGTGCAGGGAGCTGGACCAAGAAAGCAGCTGAAATCTGAACCGGCTTTCTGGGGACTTAACTCATTGTGCCACAACTCCTGGCTCCCAAATAATGTTTTAAAATTTAGAAACAAAATTTTAAACTAAGTTGTGAGACCGAAGATTATTGGCAGATGCTTTATTGGGTTCCTTGGAAAAATCTGTATAAGAAATAAAAACTCTGCAGTTCTTTAAGCAAATTCTATGTGTGACTCACACCCATGATGGGCACTCAAAAGGGGGAGGGGAATGAGACCCAAACTCCCTCTCCAAAGATGCCCGGAAAGGCAGTAACAGCTCCATCAGAATAGGGACACTTCAGCGTAACAAGGAAATCCAAAGGAAAATAGAGCTAGAAGGCACACTGGGTGCACACAGGTTCCTGTTCAGTTCAAGTGAGGACAGCACAGGGCTGTGTGCGCTCAGCAGGGGCTGAGTGATCTCACTGCTTCACTGGGCAACGGAAAGGGCACGAAACAGATGGAGGTCACTGCTGCCCAGCGCGTGTGGCCCCTGAGGAACTGAATTACACCTGTAATCAGGAGTCCACAGAAAAGGTCATTCTCCCCACGGCAAAACGTGAGCAACTAGGAACCTGAAGTTCCCAAGACTAAACGCCCTGTGATTCTTGGACTCACAGGCAGAGGGTGCCTTTGGAGAGCCCTTGTGGACCTCTCGCCGTGGGGTGAAGGTGTCATTGTCAAAGCTCTTCTGGAAAGAAGTTATCACAAACCCTTTTGAGTAGCTGGGTCTTACAACATAAAGGGAAAGATCTTTGGGACTGAATTTGGACATCCGTATTGCTTGAGGACAGTCATGATCGACTCCAATAGTAAATTCAGACTCATTTCCATATTGTAATCTTTTATGAACTTCTATAAAATCTTTAACTATGACCAAAGATTGATTTAATGCAGTTATAAGAATATTTTACAATTCTGAGTCCATTACTGTCATTGGTAAACCCCCTCATTATGATCCCGATACATCGCTTTTGAAACTTTACAAACATTGTGGTAGCTTCCTCTGCTATGTACTAGGTACTATGCACTATATACCATTTGCCATATACTGTATACTATATACTATACGCTAAAGGAAACGCCCCTCACCTAAGTAAGGCAGAAAAGAATTGCACTAGAATGTTCCACACATTTATTTTGACAACAGAAAGAATGACAAAATAACTTTTCTAGGGAACAGCAAAAGCACAGCAGATAACAGACCTCCACAAGGAGACTTTCAAGTAGCAAGGCTGCAGAAGAGCGGTTTTGAACTTGAAAGAACTCAGCGGCTGTGTCTCCTCATCCTACTTGCTGAAACGCCTAGAGGTCAAGCTTCAAACAACCCAAATGACTGAAGACACATTTAACAAGCAGCAGTGCTGGCGTTCAGTGTATACGGAAACGCAGAAGCAAGTCAGCCTTTTAAGGAAAGCGGTGCATCAGGCACTGACAACAGCATTGCCCGGAAGTGCAGACAACACAGTAACCGGAGGTGTGGGTCAGGGAGAGGAATGTATGGAAAATAAACTAAGCCCGATAGCCTTTCAGGCATGACCAGGAAGGAAGTGAATATTACTTCAAATGAAATGTTGTGAGAAGGTTTTTATAATGATCAGATGCAGGAACACATGAACTCAAAAACAAGCAACCAATGTAGTAAATAAAGACGTGGGGAAGTGTGGCCGTTAAACCACAAATTCAAAACTCAAACAGTAGACTGCAAAAAGCAGTGAACAAAAGCAGAGACAATGTGGTGAAGGGCTACACCTCTGCATCCGTGTGTCTCCACACAACAGAATTGGTACCAGACTTACCAGCTGCTGCAACAGGTGTAAGTGCCCTTGGTCAACCTACTGCTACAGAAACACTGGAACGTGTCCATGCACGGCTGCTGTGATCCAGCGCGGGTTGTTCTCCCTGGGCTCCTGTGGTTTTGGTCCCCAGTGTGGTGTTGTTGGGGTAATGTGCCTTTAAGAGGCGGGGCCTCAGGGGAGGTGTTTGGGTCCCTGGGACCCGGCCCACAGCGGGATTAGTGCGGATCTCCCCAGAGCTGGGTCTGGAGAGTCTCTCTGGCTCCAGTCTCCCGGTGTGATCTCCCTCGGGCACAGGATCTCGCCGTGAAGCAGTCACCTGTCATATTGTGATGTGGCCACACTTGATGCCTCCAGAACGCTGAGCAGAATAAACCCGTTTGCATTAATACCCGTTAGGTAGTTATGCAGCTACAGGTACTTGTTACAGGGTCGGAAAATGTGGCAGCCCAGCGCTGTGGAGTGCCTGCCCGCAGATATTATACAATGTAAAAGGCGGAGTAGGAAAACTCGCATCTGGCGTGTCGATCTATAAGAATGGGCTTAGGGGCATCCACGCATAATTTCCTTTGTTAAAAAGAAACAAGGAAGAGATACACCACACACGTGTGAAAATGCAGGGTACAGCAGACAGGGCCAGGAGCTAGACTTCTCCGAATCTTCTTTGATACCACATGAATATTTATAAAGCCAATTAAGTCAGAAAAGAAAAAAACCCTAAAAAAGGCATTAAAATAAAACTACATATCGGGCAACAGCATAGCAAGCCAAGAATAACAAAGTCGTTTAAAACTCAGTACTTTAATGGTCGCTCCTACATAGCCATTCCCTACGGATAAGATGCGTTGTAACACGGATCAGGCAGCTTTCAATAATCGCATTGATCGTTATTCTGAACCTGCGTGTTATTATAGGAAAAGGGCGTGCACGATTAGGTGAGCATCAATAGGAACGGAGTTTTTCAGCCTGAGAAAAGGGGACGACAAACAGCACACGGAGAAGCGACGTGTTCGGGGGTCGCGAAGGCAGGAGCGACGCCCACCACACGCCCTCGGCGAGCTGAGGCTGGCGGCGCCACACCCCCACCCCCAGGGCGTGCAGGGTGTCCGCAGCGCTGCTGGCCGCCGGGCGCGAGCGCCGCCCACGCGGGGCTGCGGGCGGGGCGGGCCCACAGGCGCCCCTGTCAGGGTTTGAATCTCCCGCCGGCGCCAAAGCAGGCGGCCCGGTTTGCTTATCAGCGTGCCCAGGTGTGGAGCGTTTCGGCCGTCAGCAGGCGGCTTCTAAGAACGGAGTGCGACTCCTAGTGTAGACGGAACGCCAGTATGAGCGCAGGGCGTGCTATCTCTAAAATAAAATACATTTAAAAACCCACGTTTCCTTACTTTCCACTGACGAATCTCGAGTTTACCCCACGGTTAGGCGGGTCCTTACCTCCTGCAGCGCAGTCTGGAAACCATTTCCCACCGCAAGGAAACGGGCTTCCCTGTGGGAGTGGGGACAGGAAAGGGGCATTTGTTAGATCAGAACCAAGGCTGTTCTTTCAGCAGCTGCCGGATCCCGTCCCAGGGGCTAGGGGCCAGCCTGAAGCCTGGAACTGATCTTCCCTAACAGCGACGCCGCCTGTGGATTGAAACACATCCAGTGTTCAAGG